ACTTTATCGCTACATTATTTGTGGTGGAAATTGTTTTCGCTTAACTCGTTCTTCGCCTCACGCGGCACTTTTCAGGAACGCATCTACCGCATTAAACGAGGACCTTACGGTAGTGTAATCGACTTTCTTTGAGGTCACTTACTCGGGCCCTGTTAATCATGCCGGCTAACTGGACATCCGACCTCCCGAAGTTGGGAAACCCTCTAAAGAACACGCCCGGCGTGTCACCCAGCCCCACCCATCACCTCCCTTCCAGTGGCACATGCGGAACGGCTGAGAATCTGCCAACTGTTAACGTTTTTATCAGATTACTCGAGTAATCGCACTGATAATCCGTTACTTAAATAATTAGATGGCACAACTCTAGTTGTTGGTAATGCAATTAACTTTTTTCTGGTGCCTCTTCCTCACGCATTATGTTTCACTGTTTTTTTTCAATTCGCTTGTTTTGCAACCGATAGATACGTTTTTTGTGAGTGGTGCAATATTCCTTAAGGAACGTGTAATTAATTTTCTGCAATATTGACGTTTTTGTATTTCGTTTTTGTCGTTGCTGCTGTGCTCACGCACCACGGATCTCCCTTGTAAAATATCTTTGCAACCAGCTAAAAGGGGTCATCCATGTGACGAATCAAATAAACTCAAACAACTCTTGAGTCAAGGACGATCATGCACACACCATGTACCATGCTCCTCTTGTCAGCCACGTTTTCGGAAAAAAAAACCTTTCGGAGCTCGGACTTTTTCAGTCCTTGGGGCTCAGATTTGGAACACTGCCTTGAAGAACTGTGCCTGACCGCTGAGATTCTCTCATTTAGAAAGAAAATTAAATCTACTTATTTCCGAGGATATGGTAGATAAACTATAATTTAATGTTCATTAATTTTACTGTATGGCGCTTTGAAGGGTCTGCTGCATCTCATAAAATCGTAAATCATATTATAAGTTTTGATCACGCGCACATTCAGGCGACCACGTGAATTTTGGTGGCTCGGCTCAGCGGCGGCACACGTTCCACAAAAAACATCAGCAGTTCCTGATAAACTGTAGAACTGCATTGTATGTATGTTGAACTTATTTCTCATCGTACGTAGCCAACCGTGCTCGTCAAAGAGCATAGACCATCACGCAAACTCCAGTCATCCTCGCAGCAGATTTTGGCTAACCATCGATCAAAGACAGTCACTGCATCGCGCACTTTCAGATGCACTTTTGCGGCTATCTGGAACACTCTTCCTTCCAACATTAAGAAGCCACTGGAGCTATGGACTTTTAAATCCTCCACATTGAAAGCTCATTTATTTAGAACTGCTTTTTGTGTTTAGTTTGTTGTCCTTCCCCCATACCTCAGATTAGCATGGTTGTCTACGTACAGTGCGAAAGAAGTTCAACATACACACACGTGCTAATTGTTGTCCACAGGAGCTGCTGAAGCTCAGGAGGAAGATCACGTGCACCGTGCACATGCTCACGCATGTCAAGGAGAAGCTGCAGTTCGTGCAGGTCGAGAACGAGGAGCAGAGGGCAGCTCTCGCCTCTGTCGAGGTCCACGTGGCGCAGGTGCGCGGGGTGAAGAAACGGCGCTGTGCCGGCCATTGTGAACCGGGCCTGTATCGCAGCGACCAGCCATTGCGATTTGATGGGGTCTCTCCCTTTACTTTTTTGTTTTGCTGCTTTCTCCTGTAACGCAGTAGTTGCATTCTGGAAGAACACCGCATTATGGAAAAATCGCGTTATAATAAAGAATATACACTATAGGGTGAAGCACAGTCCACAATAACACGTGAGATGCGTATTCAGGATGAGCAAAGACTGAGGCACGTGGGTAGCATCTACAAGCATCCAGCAGCATCCCGAATTGTGTGATGCTTATTCTTACTCGCGCGACGTAGTTCTGGTCACTTAATCGCGTTATATCCAATTCGCACATGCTTTACAAAAAATGTGTTCCCTAATACATTCATCGCGTTATATCCAATTCGCTTAATGAAAACACACGTTATAGGAGAACAGACTGTATTCCAATTGTGCCGTCGGCATCTTGGTGTCATGAAGTGCAGGAATCTTCGTTTGTTGCAAACTCTCACGTTGAGCCATGTGACCGTCACCTTGAGTCGGGGAACGACCCCGGAAGATGACATTGTGTGACTACTAACAGAAGGTTCTTCAATAGCCTCTCGTATCCAGGCTAGGCTCACACCTACCCCTCTGTTTTCCCATCCGCTTGCAATGAAACGCAAACTTGATAAGTGTGGGTGGGAGCATACGAATCAAACCCACGGTCTCAGTGGTGCCTGCTCATTATCTCTGACGTGGCCATTGTGAACCCTCTAAGCGAGAGAGAGAAAGGCACCCAGCCACGTTTTAGCACATTACCGCTCCGATTAGCACGGTTGGCTACGTACGGTGCGAAAGAAGTTCAACATACATGTTGCTTGAACCCAGACACTGAATCATTCTAGCTGAATGTCTCCAAAACAGTGCTTATCAACCTCATGAGAGAGAAACGCACACCATGCTTCATGGCTTAATATTTTAATCCGAATGGTGCGAGCTCAGTGTCACCAATATTATAATTATGAGCCCACTGAGACTTTCCATCACTTCTTATTCTATTTTAGGTATGGTTTAAGTTGGTAACAGAAAACCAGTGAAGTAAAACAAATCCATTGCTGTATTGTACTTCCATGCTTCCACGTATATACTCACGCCTTCAGAAAACCCGCATTGACCAGCGTGGTGAAGTATGGTCAAATGATCCCGACGAAGTGGAGAGGCTGTCATCCAGCAGTGGATTGGCGGAAGGGTTGTACATGGAAGTAGCCGCAGTTGAATTGTGAATCTGCTTCACCTGCACGGTCCAGGCGGTGGTGCTGTTTCCCAGAAATGGCTGCAGCCTGGCACCAACTCCACTATTAGTTGTCTGTCCATCTGTTTAGTTGTGTGCCTCTATTTGTGTTTATTGGTCTACTTGTCCACTGCCTTCCTACGAGTCTTTTTCTCTGTTCTCTGGCTGTTTGTGTCTATATTCACCTTTTCTTTTTCCTCTCCAGCTGTCTTTCTTTCTCTACAGATGTTCTTTAATTTTCTTTTGTGTCTGTTTGCATGTCTTCATCCTCGACTGTCATTGTACATCAATATATGTTTTTATTTGGTTTTGTATTTTTTTTGTCCTGTGTGTTCATCAACCCCCCATGTGTTTGTCGACATCTCTGTGTGTTTAGCTGTCTATCTTCATTTCTTTAAGTCCATGTGCCCATGATCCATTTGTTTGCATTAAACATCTCCGTCCATCCACAACACGAGCTCTAGAACCCTACATCTCATCCCACAACAACCATCTCTTTCCCCTCACCCATTTTCCCTCCCTCATCTCTGTCACCCATCAATCCATCAATCCCCTCTCTCCCTTCTCTCCCAACTCTCCTCTCACTTCCTCTACCCCACCGCCCCCCCCCCCCCCTACCTTGGCCACCAGAGACGAGACACCCTCACGAGAACCAAGCAGGCCCGGGACGCCCTGCGCACTGACAACACCCGCCTGCGCCGCCGTGCGGGGCTGCTGGGGAGCCCCCAGCTGCTGCGTGACCTCGAGGTGGCAGTGGACGGCGCCGAGCGGCTGCGCGGGCGCCTGCAGGAGCTGCGCGCGCGACACGCCGGGCTGGCACTGGCCGCGCGGGGCGTGCGCGCCAAGGTCGAGCAGGCCCGGGCCGTAGCGGCCACCGGTGACGGCGCCCGTAGAGGAGGAAGGACTGTTGAGCGCGTACGGCGCCGGCGCTCTTGCGTGAAGCCCACTGGGGCTCGGTGGCAGCCAGCAGGTGTTTAGCGAAGGTGCTGCCTGCGTTCGTTGAGATGGTAGTTCACTCCATCGGATGGATTGCGATACAGAGACAGTGATAGGGATTTCCGTGTTTAATATAGTTGTGTGAGTTTGACCAAGTGCTGTTTTTTGATTACGATTGATAGGATGGATACAAAATTATTTCCGAAAAATATAACCTACTCACGAGGAAGGTTATATATTAATGTCCGTGATATATATTTTGAACAAACACATTTACAGTAACAACAACACTACTTTTATATACCTTTCGGGAAGAAGACCTCAGAAAGTGTGTGAAAGAATAAACAGGAGAAAGCTGCTGCAGGTGACGAAGTTTGTCCAATCGCAGATTTATTCACAAAGCTACTGGGAAAAAAAAACACAGTGTGTACAGTGGGTTTGCAAAGAGAAAATTCAGTTTCTCAAATGGGAAGTTATGCAACGTGAATACAAACAGGGCTATTTTGAGTTCAATCAGCTATTCTCTCTCCATAATGGCAACCCAGTGACGTTCCCTGAGAGCAGGTTGGGGGGGGTCGCTTTTGTTGATAAGACATCCGTTGTGTGGGCCGTCACAAAGCCTGCAAGGGATGTTTTCACATGTTGTGTGTTGTCGTGGGGGCCGTACATCAGGGACTTGCACTAAAGGCACCAGGGGCTGTCAGTGGCCCGCAGGTCCTTCAATGAAAAACACTAACTTCGAGCCCATGAGCCAAAGGGGTTGGTTATCATCACCTGGGATTGCAAAGGTTACATGTATCTACCATTTGCAGAAAGCTTAGTGTATGTATAACATCCTGTCTTGTTTTATATACGCACTTATTTTTATTGTTTTATTGCAATGCTTGCGGACTTTTGCCCCCTCCTGCGCAATTAACGCCCACGTCGCAGTGGCGTTTCAACATCACCTGACAATGTCGATTCACCTTGAGTGTCGCATTTATGAGTGTTGCTCTCTGAAGTAATACCAAATAATATAAATGCACATGGTCATGGTTAGTTTTAGGGCTAGTGTTTGAATTTACGGGTGGGTTAGTATAAGGTCTAGTGAATAAGGGGGAAGATACCCCTGTAAGAGCTGACCTTGGAGGTCAACCGTCAACTGAATTTCATCTTGAAGACACTGGGCCGCACTTAACTGTGTTAGAACTACACCTGGGAGGTGCGGCTTTCCTCAATTATTGGGGAATTAAGTAGTCGCCTAACTTTGGCTGTGGCGAAGTACAAGCAATTACTCGCATGCCCAATCATTGCCCGATTAAATTATTTTGCAGGAGGTACAAATGGAATCATCAATATGGTGACCACAAATGCCATCGAAGGGCTTTTCCAAACTCTACCTGCAGTCATGAAATTCGTCCTATGCTTTTAAAATACCACGTGAAAGAAAATGTTAAACTTTTCAAAAACTGCGAGATCTAGCAGAGGGAAGGAATTGACAGCTAGCTGTAGTGGCATCAACGGATATTGCTGGTGGTGGTGACGTCTCATTTTGAGTTAACTTGAGTGGCTTAGGAAACCGAAATCCTGCGTCTCCTTCATTACTTAATAGCTCCCCTATGAGCTTGGTGGATATTCCACGTTCCTTTAGTAGGTGCCAGGCTCTCCATATAATGACCTCATTTAAAAGGTCATAGGATGCAAAGTGTAGCTTTGTAGAAACAAAATATCTGCTACTTGTAGGAGGTAAACATGGCCCTGGATGAAAATCTGAGCCCAGTATTCCCCCAAGGTCTCAAGTCTGTTGTCAACCTCGAGTAAATATTTTGCAATGAAGGAATCTGAGCTCTTGACGTTAAGTAACCCCTGCTGATTGACTGTGTTGGCCATGTCTTGGTGAGTGGCCCTTATTTCTTGAGTGCCCTCTCATCGTATTTCCAGTCGCCGTGTCAGGGCACGATAACAAGTTTTCAGCAAAGTAGGTTACCCGTCTGTCCATCACGTATCGGATTTTCAACGTTGTCTCCCCTGTGAAGGGTTTTTTTCCATGCGCCATGGTTTCTCTCTGTGCAAGAACAAATATATACCAATAAGGGGATTGAATAAATACCCCGAGCAGGGCCCTCCTAAAAATAGTGTTGAGACTCAGCAAGTCCTTGCTAAATAAAGAACTGGCACTGTATTATAGTGTCAACTCGGGTGGTGGTGGTGGTGCTGCTGTGGTCAGAGCATTGAGCTCACAAGTGAATGGTCGCAAGTTCAATTGCTGGTAAGAGAGTCACTTAGTGCACCATCATAATCCGCAAAGCACAAGCAAACTAAGCAAACGCTCGAGGCCTCTGGCAGTTAAAGGGGCCCTTGATTAGAAAAAGAATAGTGGTGAATCACATATCCGCTGGAATTTAGATCCTAATAAAATCTAATTTAAATCGAACAGCCAATTAATATTGCATCCATAAATGATTGTAGGTATATCTCCCTGTTTGTCTCTCTGTGTCTTTACCCATATCCATGTCTATATTTGCATTCTTTATGGCTGCATTTTTGTGTGTTCATGTGTCTGCATCTGAGTGTATCTCCTTACATATATTTGACTGTCCCTTCGTGTCTCTGTATATTTGCATCTCTCTGTGCATTATTATCTGTGTGTGTGTCTGTCTTTGTATCAATGTCTCTAGCTCCGTGTTGATGCGTGTGTGTGGATCGCTCTATGTCTCTGTGGATTTCAGCGCTACTCTATTCATGTCTCCCAAGCAGCGTGCCTGTTTGTCCGTGTATCTCATCGTGTCTCTCTCCGCGCATCTCCATCTCCTCGTGTCTCCAGCCACCGTCTCTCAAAGATCTCCCCACTTTGTGTTGGGAGACATGGTGGTGGGGGGTGGGTGGAGGGGTGGGGGAGTTCACCACCCCCCCCCCCTGAACCAGCTCCCCAGCCCCGCCCCTCGGTGACGTCACCTCGGCGCGTGGCCCTCGGGAGGAGTGGCGTGCGGAGGCCGGAGACATCAACACCTCATCATCGGCAAGGCGACCGCGAGCGACAATATAACAATTATCACCAAATAATCCACCGATATTATTTTCACGCATACAACCAGCAGCATCTCGGCAGTAAGGTCACGAACGCAATTTGCACCGTCATCGATAACGCCATCAATATTGTCGGTGGTTACCATCGATACAGAAAGCATCGCCGATATCGTCAATTCCGTTGTAAGATACAGTAGCAACGGGTATCAGCAGCGCCTTGGATAACATTGACATCACATCACGTTGCCGACAACGGCTACTCGCTAACATCGACTATCATCGCGACACGTGAGTAATATTAATAACAGTGATCGGTGTCAGGCACCGTTTAAAGACGACAATCGTCACCAACCACAACATCAACAACACCACCATCATCACAACACACACCACATCATCATCGTCCGTATCCGGGACGTGTGGCTGCGTGAACATTGCGCTGTGGGGGTGACGACGACGACGACGAGGAGGAGGAGGAGGGGGAGGATTTGATCGCCGAGGAGTGGACGAGGTAAGAGGAGGAGGTGAAGGAGTGAGGGGTGAGAGACATTTGGTGGTGAGGGGAGAAGATGATGTGGTGAGGGGGGGAGAGAGTGGGGTTCAGTTACACGCGATGACGATGATGATGATGTTCACCGCGAGTGGGGGTTTGTGTGTTACGCGGCACGGTGGCGATGTCATCATCACCATCGTCACCCACACCACCAGCATCGTCACCACCCATCATCGTCACCACCATCATCGTCACCATCATCATCGTCACCGCCACCATCACCGCCACCATCATCACCACCACCAACACCACCACCACCATCAGCACCATCATCACCACCACCATCATCACCACCAACACCACCATCATCACCACCAACACCACCATCATCGTCACCATCATCGTCACCAGCATCATCATCGCCAGCATCATCATCGCCACCATCATCATCACCACCATCACCATCATCACCACCAACCCATCATCATCACACCACCAGCATCATCATCATCACCACCATCACCACCAACACCATCATCACCACCAACACCATCATCACCACTAACACCATCATCATCATCACCACCAACACCATCATCACCACCACCAGCTCATCACCAGCACCACCAGCATCACCACCACCGCCGTCGCCACCGTCATCAATGTCGTAGTCACGGGTCGAGGTAACGGAGCCACCAGGCCTCGCTCCGGTTCGGCGGCCTTGCCCCTTCACAGCACAGCCTTGCCCTGTACTGCGTTAAACACAGTAATGCCCTTCACTGCATAGACAGCCTTGCCCTGTACTGCGTTAAACACAGTAATGCCCTTCACTGCATAGACACAGCCTTGCCCTGTACTGCGTTAAACACAGTAATGCCCTTCACTGCAAAGACAGCCTTGCCCTGTACTGCGTTAAAACACAGTAATGCCCTTCACTGCAAAGACAGCCTTGCCCTGTACTGCGTTAAAACACAGTAATGCCCTTCACTGCATAGACACAGCCTTGCCCTGTACTGCGTTAAAACACAGTAATGCCCTTCACTGCATAGACAGCCTTGCCCTGTACTGCGTTAAAACACAGTAATGCCCTTCACTGCATAGACACAGCCTTGCCCTGTACTGCGTTAAAACACAGTAATGCCCTTCACTGCATAGACACAGCCTTGCCCTGTACTGCGTTAAAACACAGTAATGCCCTTCACTGCATAGACAGCCTTGCCCTGTACTGCGTTAAAACACAGTAATGCCCTTCACTGCATAGACAGCCTTGCCCTGTACTGCGTTAAAACACAGTAATGCCCTTCACTGCAAAGACAGCCTTGCCCTGTACTGCGTTAAAACACAGTAATGCCCTTCACTGCATAGACACAGCCTTGCCCTGTACTGCGTTAAAACACAGTAATGCCCTTCACTGCATAGACAGCCTTGCCCTGTACTGCGTTAAAACACAGTAATGCCATTCACTGCATAGACACAGCCTTGCCCTGTACTGCGTTAAAACACAGTAATGCCCTTCACTGCATAGACAGCCTTGCCCTGTACTGCGTTAAAACACAGTAATGCCCTTCACTGCATAGACACAGCCTTGCCCTGTACTGCGTTAAAACACAGTAATGCCCTTCACTGCATAGACAGTCTTGCCCTGTACTGCGTTAAAACACAGTAATGCCCTTCACTGCATAGACAGCCTTGCCCTGTACTGCGTTAAAACACAGTAATGCCCTTCACTGCATAGACACAGCCTTGCCCTGTACTGCGTTAAAACACAGTAATGCCCTTCACTGCATAGACAGCCTTGCCCTATACTGCGTTAAAACACAGTAATGCCCTTCACTGCATAGACACAGCCTTGCCCTGTACTGCGTTAAAACACAGTAATGCCCTTCACTGCATAGACAGCCTTGCCCTGTACTGCGTTAAAACACAGTAATGCCCTTCACTGCATAGACAGCCTTGCCCTGTACTGCGTTAAAACAGTAATGCCCTTCACTGCATAGACACAGCCTTGCCCTGTACTGCGTTAAAACACAGTAATGCCCTTCACTGCATAGACAGCCTTGCCCTTCACTGCGTTAAAACACAGTAATGCCCTTCACTGCATAGACAGCCTTGCCCTATACTGCGTTAAAACACAGTAATGCCCTTCACTGCATAGACAGCCTTGCCCTGTACTGCGTTAAAACACAGTAATGCCCTTCACTGCATAGACAGCCTTGCCCTATACTGCGTTAAAACACAGTAATGCCCTTCACTGCATAGACAGCCTTGCCCTTCACTGCGTTAAAAACAGTAATGCCCTTCACTGCATATACACAGCCTTGCCCTATACTGCGTTAAAACACAGTAATGGCCTTCACTGCATAGACAGTCTTGCCCTATACTGCGTTAAAACACAGTAATGCCCTTCACTGCATAGACACAGCCTTGCCCTATACTGCGTTAAAACACAGTAATGCCCTTCACTGCATAGACACAGCCTTGCCCTATACTGCGTTAAAACACAGTAATGCCCTTCACTGCATAGACAGCCTTGCCCTGTACTGCGTTAAAACACAGTAATGCCCTTCACTGCATAGACAGCCTTGCCCTTCACTGCGTTAAAACACAGTAATGCCCTTCACTGCATATACACAGCCTTGCCCTATACTGCGTTAAAACACAGTAATGGCCTTCACTGCATAGACAGTCTTGCCCTATACTGCGTTAAACCACAGTAATGCCCTTCACTGCATAGACACAGCCTTGCCCTATACTGCGTTAAAACACAGTAATGCCCTTCACTGCATAGACACAGCCTTGCCCTATACTGCGTTAAAACACAGTAATGCCCTTCACTGCATAGACAGCCTTGCCCTGTACTGCGTTAAAACACAGTAATGCCCTTCACTGCATAGACAAGCCTTGCCCTGTACTGCGTTAAAACACAGTAATGCCCTTCACTGCATAGACAGCCTTGCCCTGTACTGCGTTAAAACACAGTAATGCCCTTCACTGCATAGATACAGCCTTGCCCTGTACTGCGTTAAAACACAGTAATGCCCTTCACTGCATAGACAGCCTTGCCCTGTACTGCGTTAAAACACAGTAATGCCCTTCACTGCATAGACACAGCCTTGCCCTGTACTGCGTTAAAACACAGTAATGCCCTTCACTGCATAGACAGCCTTGCCCTGTACTGCGTTAAAACACAGTAATGCCCTTCACTGCATAGACAGCCTTGCCCTGTACTGCGTTAAAACACAGTAATGCCCTTCACTGCATAGACAGCCTTGCCCTGTACTGCGTTAAAACACAGTAATGCCCTTCACTGCAAAGACAGCCTTGCCCTGTACTGCGTTAAAACACAGTAATGCCCTTCACTGCATAGACACAGCCTTGCCCTGTACTGCGTTAAACACAGTAATGCCCTTCACTGCATAGACAGCCTTGCCCTGTACTGCGTTAAAACACAGTAATGCCATTCACTGCATAGACACAGCCTTGCCCTGTACTGCGTTAAA